AGAAAGCCAAAAGACAAATGATAAGCTGGAGAAATATATTTTCAACATACATCCAGTAAAAAGATTAAGATCTGTAATATGGAGAGAGCTTCTAAAAGTAAAAAAGAAAAAGATTAACAAATCTCAAGAAAAATGGGCAAGAGATATAAACAGAGTTCACAGAAGAAGAGAAGCAAATAGTCCTTAAATAAATGAAGAAAATCTCAACTTCGTTTTAAGAGCAATGCAAATGAAAACTACACTGAGAAACAATTTTTCACCTATTCGAATGGCAAATGTTTGATAATGCACTCTGTTAGAAAGCTGTAAAGTAATAGGCACTCACATTGCTCTTGGGAATGCACCATGGCATAACCCTGAGGGAAAGGAATTTGACAATATCTAGCAAAATTACACATGCATTTACCCTTTGATCCAGCAAACTTTCTTCAGGAAGTTATCTCAGAGATACACTGGCAAAAAACACAAAAGGATTTTACACGAAGTTATTCACTGCAGAACCAAAAGCTAAAGACTGAAAACAACCAAAACCTTCCTCAACAGCAGGGCAAAACATCTACCAATGGAATACTCTGTAGTTATTAAAAGAAAAGAGGATTATCTCTACACACTGCTATGGAGTGATTGCCAGGATATATTATTGGAAAAAAACCAGAGTAGTGTGTCCAGTACGCTAGCTTGTATCTATAAAGACATATTTGCTCATTTTTATTAGAAGGATAAACCAAAATTAATAAAATGGAAAGAAAAGAGGGAACCAGCAAAGGATAAGAACGTGTGCTAGGCCGGGTGCAAAGAGATTTCCCGGCCAGCAAATCTCTTTCTTACAGCAGAATGCTAGCTAACAAATGTAGAAGAACTAATAGAGGAGTTTTTTAGTTACCATTTTGCAACTATCATACCAATATTTGATTCTGGCTTACTTAAAACTAGCAGCTGAAAGTTTGATGAAAGAAGGACATTAATAAGGTCTTATATAGTGTCTCCTCATGAATTAGTAATCAATTATAAAGAAAAAATAATAACTGTACAGTGGAGAAACCTGGAAGATACTATCTTAACCAAGTGACCAAAGTTAGTAGTACTGTTCTGGTGATCTACTGCTGCGTAACAAACTGCTCCAAAATTTGGTGGCTTAAAACAATTTATTATTATCTTTCTTGGTTCTGTGGATTGAGGGGGCTCAGTTGGGATCTCTCATGGAGTTACATTCAGATGTTGGCTGGGACTTGATTCATCTTAAAGTTTGATATCAATTTATTTAACATTCAAGATGGCTTCTTTCTTGAGCTATCTGGTGGCTGGGATACCTGGAACAGTTGGGTGCTGGCCAGGCATCTCTCTCTCTCCAAGTGGCTAGCTTGGGCTTCCTCACAGTTGATGGTCTCAGTCAGACTTCTTATGTTGGTGGCTTACCCCCAGAGTGAGCATTCCAACCAAGCAAACATTGCAAGGACAAAATTCCAAGAGACCAAGGCAGAAGCTGCAAGGCTTCTTCAGATCTAGTAGAAGAAGAAACAATCACATCTGCCACATTCGATTAGTTAAAAGAAAGTCATTGGGCCAGTCCAGATTCGAGGAGAGGCAACAACATAAGGCCATGAAAACTGGGGACATAGTTCACTGAAGAACTTGGAGACTAGCTATCAATGATGATCAATATGCATCATGTGCCTCCAGATGTAATGCAATAAGAAAGACACTATAACACTCATGTGCTATTTCTGCCAGAAATGTTTAACTTGAACCTCATCATGAGGAAACTTGCAATAGATTCGAATTAAGGGACATTCTACCAAATAGCCTATACTCTTCAAAAATGTCAATGTCATGCAAGACAAAGAAAGCCTAAGGAATTAATTCAGATTAAAGGAGCCTAAAGAGACATGAAGACTAAATGCATGATTAATCCTGGGTTGGATGCTGGATGAGAAAAAAAGAATGCCATAAAGACACTATTGGAACAATTGGTGAAATTTGAGTTAGGTTTATAGATTAAATAAGAGCACTGTGTCAATAAAAAAATGATCTAATTGTAATTACTGTACTGTGAACATCCTTGTTTTTAGGAAATATACACTGAAGAATTTAAGAGCAGAGGCATATTGTCTGCAACTTAATCTCAAGTGGTTTAGGAAAAACTGTATGAGAGAGAGAGAGAAAGCCAGGAGGGGTGAAGAAGGGAGAGAATAATAAAATATGGCAAAACGATAACAATGGGTAACTCTAGGTGAAAAGTATATCGGAATTCTTTGTGCTATCTTTGCAAAATTTTTACAAGTTTGAAGTTATTTCAAATTAAAGAAAATATTTTCAAATAACCAAAACATATCAAAGATATTTTAAAATTTTATGACTTCATCATTAATGATGCAAAAAAAAGTCCAAGTCAAAACCCAAATACCTTATTGGCCACCTTTGCTGGATGCTAGGGAATCAACCAATCTTGAAAACTAGTAAAAAGAAAGAAGCAGCCGGGTGCAGTTGCTCACACCTGTAATCCCAGCACTTTGGGAGGCCGAGGCAGGTGGATTACGAGGTCAGGAGTTCAAGACCAACCTGGCCAATATGCTGAAACCCCATCTCTACTAAAAATACAAAAATTAGCTGGGTGTGGTGGCATGCACCTGTAGTCCCAGCTACTTGGGAGGCTGAGGCAGAAGAATCGTTTGAACCCAGGAGGTGGTGGTTGCAAGTGAGCTAAGATCATGCCACTGCACTCCAGTCTGGGCAACAGAGCGAGACTCCGTCCTCCCATCCCCCCAAGAAACAGAAGAAAATGTTTATACTACATTTCCTAAGCACACTTTATCTTGGGGTAATCAAACTGTTGAGGGAAAATTCTTCTCCTTAGAAGAATTCCAGCTAATAAACGAAAAATTCCTCTCTATTTTCTACGCCAGGGATTGGGAAACCAAGGTCCTCAGGACAAACCTAGCCCAACACCTGTGGCTGTAAATAAACTGGAATACAGTTGTGTTGGCCCGTTTGTGCTTATTATAACAAAAATACCTGAGACTGGGTAATTTATAAAGAACATAAACTCACAGTTCTAGAGGCTGGGAGTCCAAGATTAAGGCACCAGCAGGATCAGTGTCTGGTGAGGGCTCAGTTTCCAGTTCCAAGATGGCAACTCGTTGCTGCATCCCCTGGAGGGGAAGAACACCGTGTCCTCACATGGCAGAAGAGTAAAGAGAGCAAACCTACTCTCTCAAGCCCCTTTTATAAATGTCCTACTACATTTGTGAGGGTATAGCTCTCATAAGCATCACTTCCTAAAAAGGCCCCACTGAATTTTGGAGGTAACATGCATTCAAATCATGGCAACCATCACCCCATTTGTTTGCATATTGTCTATACTGGTTGCATTCACACCATAAAGGCAGAATTTAGTAGTTATGACAGAGACCACATGGCTATTGGGCCTGAAATATTTACCACTGGGCTGTTTACAGAAAAAGGTTGCCAATCCTTGCTCTAGTCCAGGAGAAGAATGGCCAATGACCTCCAGTGCCCAAACGGTGAGGGCACTATTACAAACTCACAGGGACATCACAGGGTATTTTAAATTTCTGAGGAAACAACAGTGACATCTATCAGAAGCCATGTGAACTACCAGCTTGAGTTAATTCAAAGTTTCAACATTAGAGCAAATTACATTCTTTTGACTAACCTATCTTTGCAGTCAGGTTTTCAGTGGTAGATATGGTCTCAAGAAAGCGTTGTGCAGAATCCAGTTACGAACAGGAAATGAGGGTAGTGGTGTCCCACCTGATTTCAAGGTTTCAGAAATTATGAGGTACCCAAGAGGTATAAACATCCCATTAGTAAGCGAATGTGGTTATTTAAGGATGAAATTAAAGTATTATGCTTTCTTTCAATTTATGTGTATACTTTAAAGTTGCTACTAAGTTATTAGGACATAAATACATATGTTAAAAGTAATAGCAAAAACCATAATTACTTTTGCACCAACCTAATATTAATTTGTTTGACCCTAACTACTTAATAAAAAGAAATGTTAGGTACTTCTTTTGACCTATGGGAACTGAGAAAAAATTATTCAGACACTAAAGGTGCCATGAACTTCTGATCTAGTGGATGATCATCAATGGCTGCTGAAACAATTAGGTGAAAAGCAGATGAGGAACTTTGTTATAGACAATATTTGAGCCCACTGAACAGCCTTAATCTCACAAAAGAAAGACCCCCAGAAATCGTGTGCTTCCCAAAGTGTTACAATAGAAGTACAAAATACTATCTATAAAGGCTTGATTTTAAAAAATCAAGTGTGAATATGATCAATTGTTCAACTATCCAGACTTAACTATCAGCCTACAGCAGTTAGAGGGAATAGAGAATGTTAAATAACATTGCAGGGATATAATCAGCAAAATCTAGACTACAAGAAATTTTACTGGAAAAAAATACTTCAGTTTCTTTAAAAAAAAAATGTAAAGGTAAAAAAGAGGTGGTTAACTTAGGACTAAAGGGGATATAAGAAACATAACTAATTGCAATGTGTGAATCTTGTTTGGATCCTGACTCAAACCAACTGAATTAAATTACAATACAATTCAAGAATTTGTAAATTCATGATACTAAATGATACTAAGTAAATAATGTTTTAGTATGATAATTATATTGTGGTTATAATTTTTTAGATGAGTCTTTTGTTGTTGTTTTGAGACAGGGTCTCACTCTGTCACCCAGGCTGGACTGCAATAGTGCAATCTCACTGCACCTCAACCTCCCTGGGCTCAGGTGATCCTCCCATCTCAGCCTCTCAAGTAGCTGGGACTACAGGTGTACACCAACATGCCCAGCTAGTTTTTGTATTTTCTGTAGAAACAGGGTTTCTCCATGTTGCCCAGGCTCTTCTTGAACTCCTGGACTCAAGGGATCTATCTCCCTCAGCCTCCCAAAGTGCTGGGATTACAGGCATGAGCCACTGCACCTGGCCTTAAAAGAGTCTTTATCTTTTAGAAATACATACTGAGGGAGGTTCTGCCTACCCGAGGCTGCTGCTGTGCGGAGACCCCCGGGTGAAACCACCGTCATCGTATCTGACCAGGAGGCAAAACCTTTAACTGAGGACTTGGGGGATAAGAAGGAAGGTGAATATATTAAACTCAAAGTCATTGGACAGGATAGCAGTGAGATTCACTTCAAAGTGAAAATGACAACACATCTCAAGACACTCAAAGAATCATACTGTCAAAGACAGGGCGTTCCAATGAATTCACTCAGGTTTCTCTTTGAGAGTTAGAGAATTGCTGATGATCATACTCCAAAAGAACTGGGAATGGAGGAAGAAGATGTGATTGAAGTTTATCAGGAACAAACGGGTAGTCATTCAACAGTTTAGATATTCTTTTTATTTTTTTTCTTTTCCCTCAATCCTTTTTTATTTTTAAAACTAGTTCTTTTGTAATGTGGTGTTCAAAACGGAATTGAAAACTGGCACCCATCTCTTTGAAACATCTGGTAATTTGAATTCTAGTGCTCATTATTCATTATTGTTTGTTTTCATTGTGCTGATTTTTGGTGATCAAGCCTCAGTCCCCTTCATATTACCCTCTCCTTTTTAAAAATTACGTGTGCACAGAGAGGCCACCTTTTTCAGGACATTGCATTTTCAGGCTTGTGGTGATAAATAAGATTGACCAATGCAAGTGTTCATAATGACTTTCCAATTGGCCCTGATGTTCTAGCATGTGATTGCTTCACTCCTGGACTATGAGTTTCAGTGGGAAAGGGAAGTTTTTCAGAGAACTGAACTGTGGAAAAATGACCTTTCTTTAACTTGAAGCTACTTTTAAAATTTGAGGGTCTGGACCAAAAGAAGAGGAATATCAGGTTGAAGTCAAGATGACAGATAAGGTGAAAGTAATAACTAACTCCAAAGATGGCTTCACCGAAGAAAAGGCATTTTAAGATTTTTTAAAAATCTTGTCAGAAGATCCCAGAAAAGTTCTAATTTTCATTAGCAATTAATAAAACTATACATGCAGAAATGAATACAACAGAACACTGCTCTTTTTGATTTTATTTGTACTTTTTGGCCTGGGATATGGGTTTTAAATGGACATTGTCTGTACCAGCTTCATTAAAATAAACAATATGGGAGGCTGAGGCAGGAGAATGGCGTAAACCCGGGAGGCGGAGCTTGCAGTGAGCTGAGATCCGGCCACTGCACTCCAGCCCGGGCGACAGAGCAAGACTCCGTCTCAAAAAAAAAAATAAATAAATAAAATAAAAAAAAAAATAAAATAAACAATATTTGTAAAAATCATTAAAAAAAAGAAAGAAATACATACTGAGTTGCCAGGCACAGTAGTACACACCTATCATCTCAGCTAATTAGGAAGCTGAGGCAGGAGGATCCCTTGAGCTCAGGAGTTTCAGGCCAGCCTGGGCAACACAGGTAAGTGATATCTGTGATAACACAGATAAGGCAACATCTATAAGTGATAGATACAGGGAATCTCTACCTAGTTCTTAAATGTTGGGTTTTTTTTGGAATTTGTTCTCAATTCCTGGCCCCATCCTTTCTTTGTCTTGAGTGATTTTATCTTCTCTCAGTGCACACATGTATTAATCAAAAATGTTTTAGGGCCTCTGGCTACAATGGCACCTGCAGTAATCCCAGCACTTTTGTAGGCTGAGATGAGAGGGGTCACTTGAGGTTAGGAGTTGGAGACCAGCCTAAGCAACATAGGGAGACTTCATCTCTACAAAAAATTTAAAAATTAGGCAGTTGTGGTGGTGTACACCCGTAATCCCAGCTAGTCAGGAAGCTGAGTAGGGAGGATCTCTTGCACCTGGGAGGTAGAGGCTGCAGTGAGCTGTGATCATGCCACTCACTGCACTCCAGCCTGGGTGACAGAGTGAGATCCTGTCTCAAACAAACAAAAACAAAGTTTTAGTGGCTATGATGTTATGATATATACTGTTTTTTTGTCCATGGTTCCTGATCCCTATCTCCCATAGTCATTGTTATAATGTTGGGGCACTTAAGGCCTTAGGAAATAGAATCTCTCTTTCTTTCTCCCGTCCTCCTTTTACCTGCCCACGCCAAGACTGTAATCTGATTGTGGGTCAAAAGACCCTTAAGCCAGAGAGCGCCCTACCCCACACCTTAGAGGAAAGAATACAACACAGAGAGGCCAAGAAAAGTCTGAAAAGACCAGTCTTGCTGGGTTTAAATCATATTTTCTTGTCTAGTCACATTTCTACACAGTTGTCAATCATTCCTATGCAATGAAGCCTCCATAAAAACCCAAAATGACAGGGATCAGAGAGCTCCTGGATACCTGCACATGTGGAGGTTCCTGGAGGGTGGTGCACCCAGGGGGTACATTGAAGCTCCATGCCCCTTCCCCTATACCTCACCCTATACCTCACCCTATACATGTCTTCATTTGTATCCTTTGTAATATCCTTCATGATAAAACAGTACATATAAGTAAGTGTTTCTTTGAGTTCTGTGAGCCACTCCAGCAAATTAATTGAACCCAGAGAGGGGGTCACGGGAACCCCAACTTGAAGCTAGTCCACCAGAAGTTCCAGAGGCCTAGACTTGCAACTGGTGTGGTGAGGTTGGGGGCAATCTTGGGCACTGAGTCCTCAGCCTGTGGAATCTGTTGCTATCTCCAGTATCAGAATTGATTGGAGGACTCCCAGTTGGTGTCCACTGCAGAATTCATTGCTTGCTTGGTGGTGGGGAGAAACCCTCACACACTTGGTCACAGAAGACCTTTTCCGTGTTGATGATTGTTGTCATGGTAGCGTGAGAGCAGAGGAAAAACATACTTTGAGAGTTTCTCCCCAACAGTAACAAACCTTATTCAACTCACTTTAAGAAAAAAAAAAAAAAAAACAGTGAAGGAGATTTATCTTGAAAGAATACAGAATGAAGATCAGAGTTATAGGAACCAAGACCTCAGTTCTAGACTTAGTGCCACTGCTCTAGTCACTCTATCTCCATGCATTGAGCAGAGATGTCTTTGTTCTAAAGACAGGTTCTCTTTATGCTGCAGTGAAAATGATGACTAGGCCGGGCGCGGTGGCTCAAGCCTGTAATCCCAGCACTTTGGGAGGCCGAGACGGGCGGATCACGAGGTCAGGAGATCGAGACCATCCTGGCTAACACAGTGAAACCCCGTCTCTACTAAAAAATACAAAAAACTAGCCGAGCAAGGTGGCGGGTGCCTGTGGTCCCAGTTACTCGGGAGGCTGAGGCAGGAGAATGGCGTGAACCCGGGAGGCGGAGCTTGCAGTGAGCTGAGATCCAGCCACTGCATTCCAGCCTGGGAGACAGAGCGAGACTCTGTCTCAAAAAAAAAAAAAGAAAAAAAAAAAAAAGAAAAGAAAATGATGACTACCGTCAGCCCCAGAATCACGTTCATCTAGTTTAGCCATCTGGTGAACAAATAAGCAACTCCGGGAAGAATTTTCTTTCTCTTCCTGTCTACAGACCAACTCTAGGGAAAGACTCTGATTTGCCTTTTGAGTCATGTTCCCCATATGGGAGGATGACATAGAATGATGAGGCCTGGCTAAGACCAAGGCAGAAGGGTCTATTATCAGAAGAAAGGGAAATTTTTACTGGGCAAATAAGAGTAGCTATCTCAGTTCCCTAAAGAAAGCTACAGTGACCCCTTGCAATGTTGGTAACTCTCAAATGTAGAGTTCCACATCTTGCCACCCAGCAGCCCACTAGATACCTACAATCAGATGTTTTACAGCTGCTCTTCACTCAGCATTTCCAATGCCGAATTCATCCTCTCAACCTCTCCTCCCAATCTGTTTTCCCTCTTTATTCTCAATCTCAATGAAGGATACTACCATTCATAGACTTGTGCAATCCCCAAACCTGGGAATCCTATTCTTTACTCCTCAATATCCATCACTCCCCACATTCAGGTAGTAAAATTTGTCAATTCTACCTTGCTTTTCTCTATCTTGAATATGCTCATATCTTATACGTTGAATGCTCATTTATCTGTTCCCTACTGTCACTAATGTAGTTTAGTGGTTATCATCTCTCATCTAAACTACTCCAGTATCCTTTTCTGACTTTTTGATTTAAAGTAGTACCCTCAAAGCATTACACTGTACAATGGCACCCAGTTTACTTATGAACAGAACTTACCATAACATCTATTTATTAAATAAAATGTTCACTTTTAATTGTTATTATTATTGTGTTTCTCCTTGACTTGAATATTAGTTCCTTCTTGGAAGAGACCATGTCATTCCAATTCACTTGTAGTAGATTAGGGTGTCTAAATCAACTCAAACTGGTGTGGTGAGGTGCGGGGCAGACTTGGGGACTGAGTTTTGTCCAACTAAGCAGGCACAGAGTTTTTTACACACAGAGTTTTTTACAACTTGTATTTATTGCTAAATAAATACGAATTTTCCTCTTAACAAGCAGGCATAAAGTTTTTTACAACTTATATTTTATACTTTTATATTTTTACAACCTATATTGCTAAAAAAAAAAAAAAAACAACTCTATGCCTGCTTAGTCAGACAAAAATTACCATTAAACAGGTAGATTTTGTTAGAGGAAGGAAATGATTGGAGAAAAATTGTGGCACTCAAATTTTTCCCTCTATTAATCTTTTTTTTTAATTAAATTACATTTTATTTTATTCTATTTTATTTTATTTTATTTGTTGAGGCAGAGTCTTGCTCTATTGCTCAGGCTGGAATGCAGTGGTGCAATCTTGGCTCACTGCAACCTCTGTCTCCCAGGTTCAAGCAATTCTCCTGCCTCAGCCTCCCGAGTAGCTGGGACTACAGTTGTGCGCCACCAGGCCTGGTTAATTTTTGTATTTTTAGTAGAGATGGGGTTTCACCATGTTGGCCAGACTGGTCTCGAGCTGCTGGCCTCAAGTAATCCACCCACCTCGGCTTCCCAAAGTGCTGGGATTATAGGTGTGAGCCACAGGGCCCCCGCTGTCCTCCCAGTTAAACTTACCGTGTTTCATTAACCTTCTTGAATCTGAAGTTTTATTTTTCACAACATTAGGGGAATTTTCCAGCTTTTATTTTTATTTATTTATTTTTTTGAGACAGAGTCTCACTCTGTCACCCAGGCTGTAGTGCAGTGGTGCAATCTTGTCTCACTGCAACCTCTGCCTCCTGGGTTCAAGTGATTCTCCTGTCTCAGCCTCCTGAGTAGCTGGGATTACAGACATGCACCATCATGCCTGGCCAATTTTTTGTATTAGGTTGTATGGGGTTTCACCATGTGGGCCAGGCTGGTTTCGAACTCCTGACCTCAGGTGATCCACCCGCCTCAGCCTCCCAAAGTGCTGGGATTACAGGCATGAGTCACAGGCCCCGGCTGTCCCCCCAATTAATCTTATTGTGTTTCCTTAACCTTCTTGAATCTGATGTTTTATTTTTCACAACATTAGGGGAATTTCCCAGTTTTTATTTCTTCAAATATTCTCTCTCTCCTCATTTTCTAGGAAAATAATTTCATTTATGTTCGAACTTTTGATATTGTCCCATATCAAAAGGGTCCCTGAGGCTATTTTTTCCAACTATTTACTTCACTTTTGTTCAGATTATATAATTTCTGTTGATTTATCTGCAAGTTTACTGACTGTTTTCTGTCACTTCCATTCTGCTGTTAAGCCTATTCACTAAAAAGATGAATTTTAAAGTTCAGATATTAAAATTTTCAGGGATTTTTTGTATGTGTATATACATCTGGTTTTTAGTTCTCTGCTAATATTTCCTACTTTTTCATCATTGTGATCTTATTTCCCTTTACATCCTTGACTTAGTTTAAATAGCTACTTTAAAATATCTGTCTACTAATTCAAACATCTGGGCATCTTAGAGCTGGTCTCTCTGTTAGTTGTCTTTTCTCTTCAAATTGGGGTGTTTGGCTGGACACAGTGGCTCACGTCTCTAATCCCAGCACTTTGGGAGGCTGAGGTGGGGGGATCACCTGAGGTTAGGAGTTCAAGACCAGCCTGACCAACAAGGTGAAACCCTATCTCTACTAAAAATACAAAAATTAGCCAGGTGTAGTGGTGGGCGCCTGTATTTCCAGCTACTCAGGAAGCTGAGGCAGAAGAATCACTTGAGACCAGGAGG